TTTTAACTTGTTTACTCATTCACTTCACCTGATATTACATACACGAGAATTCCTCCACAACTTACATTAAATTTCTTCCGCGAAGCCTTGACATTATCTGAAGTAGTGCTATCAGCGAGAGCTGTTTCTGTCTCTTTTGCCCAGGTTTCAAATTGATCACATTCACGCAAGAATTTATACAGCTTGATTACATCACTGAGAAGCCGACGACGTTCCTAAAATTCACAAAATTCCGTAAGCAGATCTGGATAAATCAAAAAGTGGGAAAAATGTGGGTTGAATTTTAAAAGATTAGGAGAAACTGAACATAAATTTGAAAAGTGAAAGAATGAAATAAACAACGATTCGAAACGTTATTACAGACGTTATTACTCCATAAAGACCCATACAAAAAACTTATTCCTTTACCTCAGCCAGATTATTTAGATTCCGATAACCAGCACTTATGGCTTCTTGGCGTTCCATGATGGCATTCCGGGAACTCTGCGGTTCGCGTTCCGTTTTGCGAGTTGTTATTGTTTGTGCAACCGTTACTGTTTCACCTTCCATAACTTTACAATAATTTGCGGGTACATAACCTTCGATTCCATCTTGTTTCAGGACACGCCACCAATCATTGTTTGATTTTTCGATTAATGCTAGGATCTTGAAACAAAAATTTTAAATTGGTCCCAATTTCTTTGCTGTTGATTTCCTTATTGAGTCTTTATTATTCAACATTTCGAATGAAATCTCTCGTTTGAAGGATTATGCAAATAGTAGACAAACATTGGAAATCTAATTTAAATGCAGGACATCCTCGACAGAAAACAGAGAATGTTTTAATGATTCTCTTTTTATCTTTTGGAATCATGGACAAGAAATTTGAAAAACTTTCAAAAATAGTTTGAAATCTATGATTCTAAAAAAGTCGAGAGGATTAAATAAGGGAAAAGAAACAAAAATAAATGAATAACCGATCACTGTTTAATTATTTATTAAATTAATAGAGAATGAAGTGGATGAAATTCTTATACAAGCAAATTACATCAACACTTAATGTTGTTTAATTCAAACAAGTATCTCGATAAGCAAAAATACCCTTAAAAGAAAGAGAATAAGCAATGGTACTGACCTCATCTTTTTTAACTTCAATATTATTTCCAGAGTAAGCGTACAGCATTTTGACCTGAGGTACAATAAGCTCTTCCGTGTCTTCTTCAATACGTACCACAGCACCAGCAATGAATTCCGTATTTGCTAGCTCTCTTGCCATCTCTTCGAGCCTTATTATATCAGCTCGATAAGCCTGGATCTCTTCTTCCAAACGCAAATGCCTTCAATTGAAAATATTAATTATTAAACTGAAAAGTGTTAGCAGTAATAAAAACACAAAACTCTGGGATAAAAAGGGTCAATTCCCTAAAAAAAATGATGAAAATGGATCAAGCTTAGAGTAGTCGAATTTATAAGTTAGAAAAATCAACTCACCTTGATAAAAGACTTTCCGATGCTTGTTCATCGCGGCCATAATCACCACTTTTGACGAGTGGCATTTTCTCACGAATCCAACTTTCTGCTTCATTTGCATCCTGGAAATACTGGTGAGCCTGTTCAGCTTCACGCAGCCATCTTCCAACCGCTTCAACTACCTAAAAAACTATATATTAATAAAAAGATATAACAAACACGCTAATAGATATGCAATTCATTATTTCTTCTCGGTACTTTTCCATATCAAAATTTTGCTTTGGAAAAGTTTCGCTTGGATTTAAGACTTTCAATAGCACGCATTTACATACAGTGTGTACCCATAATTTCAATATTCTACCAACTTTTCTCAGCTGCTCCCATTTTGCATGTAAATTGTATATTCTTGTTTGAATATCCTCTTTATTTCGACCCATTGCCACCAGTCGCTCACCAGCTGCAATCACTCCTTTTGCTCTCTGCCAATGTCCTTCCATTTCGGTTTCCAAATTCTGCAGTTAAGAAAATAAACATCAACTATTTTAAAGATTTTGCAGTAAGGAAAACCATTGAAGAGTTGTAAAAACAAAGAAACTTAGATGGACAACACCTTGAAAATACGCCTTAATTGGGCAGTAGCTGAAAGATCTCTGTTTTTGAGAAGTGAAATGCACAAATCTTCCTTCTCCTGTAACCAACTCATTTCCTCCTCATCATCTTGGATAAAACGGTACAAATCACGAGCACGATATAAAGTTATCCTCCGTTGTTGACATAACTGTACAACACTGCAAATGTAAATATGTTACTAAGAATACCGCTGTAACACGAGTCAGTCTCAAAATATCAAAGTTGAAACTACTGAGACTTACGTATCATAATTTATCTTAAGCTATTTCAGAATTTTGTAAGGATTAACCTTTCATAAAGACTGCTCACATCGTCCAACTTCTTTTGCAACACGTCATACTGTTCCCCTTTTCCTCGAATATAATCCAGTGCTTGCGACGTCACGTTTTTCAACAATTCTCCCTGGGAATTAAGTTGTGCTTCGAGAATTTCTTGTTTGCCAAGCAAATCCTCAACTCCTAATAAATGTTTCCCAACATCGCGACTTCGAAACTGAGGCTGAAATCATAGCTAATGCAGAGGTCAGATTTAAATACAAAAAGTGATTAATCACAATATCATCAAGGGACCTATTGCAAAGATAACATCAGTGAAAGATACTAATCAATACCAGAAAATTTTATTTGAAACATTAACTTCAATCAAATCTAAAATCTTAATAATGAAAAAATCTTCCTGTACTAAGATTTCCATAGGCGATAGTCATATAACTAACAAATGATCCATACAAATGAACCTTACCTCCAGTGCACGTATCTCCAATGACAATGTATCTATATCCCGAAGCAAACTCATCAGATCACTTAATGATAAAAGCGCACGACGTCTTGATTCCAAAGCTGCTAACAGCTGTGACCATTTATCTAAAAGCTCACGTTCACGTATTCGGATTTTATCGCTATCATGATAATTTTCCTTCGATAGCTCCGCAGCCATAAACGATAGCGACTTAAAGCGACTTTCCTAAAATACCACAATATAAGGGTTTTCTTTATTCGGAATTCATTTCACCTTTACCATAAATTTTATTATTTTTACAGCAACTACAAAGTATGAAATTTGAACAATAATATAATAACCGTAATCACTACACAGAAAAGACTACAAGAGAACAACAGCAAAAATAAAATAACGAACCCTGGGCAGGATATCAGCAGCAATAGCTTGTTGTTTTTTCAAGGAAGCTTCAACTTGAGCAATATTTCTGCCCAAATCAAAATCTTGCAGGACAGAACTCATCTCACGTAACCACGCATCTCGTAATCCTGCTTTGCGTTCAAATTTCTGCGCCATAAGTTCCAACCTTTCCTGTCTGGAAACTTTGCTTTTATATGCTATAGGCTATACTGTATTGATTATTAGCTGCAATGGAATAAAATCTTTTGATTACCTAAACTCCCTTAGTTAACTTTAAACAATAAACTTTCTAGCTTCAATTTCTAATGGTTTCCATCGAATTCTCATGTGAAGCAAAAATACCAAATAAGTCGTCTTTCCTTTTTTATTTAATTCCAGATTTTCTACAATGAAGGCCAGAAATTTAAAAAAATTAATAAACCAACCTTCGTAATTCCGACATCAGGGCCAGCTGTCTATCATTTTCTGAATGATCCAGAAGTGACCAAGCTGATTCAATATCATGCATAAATAGACCTGGAACAGTGGTAACTAATAAGGTAAAAAATATATCAAATATCGGCCAAAGATGTGCTTTTTAAAGCCTTGCAAATTTTTAATAACTCAAATAATGAGAGATATCCACTTCATAAGATTATAATGATGCTTAAAAATGCCTGCTGGTGGAACATATGGTTTTCTTCCCATGGCTTTCCTTTTCGTTTGTATTGTGAAAAACAAAGCTTCCAATTCTCCCTTTTCCTTGTATCTAAAATGTTCACCTCTTACAAGCAGTATTTATGATTAATACGAGAAATCACTATTTCTAGTCCATAATACGGCATCCAAAAATTTGCTTTAAAATCGTTTCGACAACAAAAGCAGGATAATACAATTTGATGAAAGTGTTTAAGAAAAAAGCACAATGGCTCAATGATATAGAATTGCGAAAAAAAAAAAGAAAAAAAACATACTTCGGTGGTTTTTCTACAGTGCGGTAGTTTTTGAATGCCAATAATTGATCCTGAATTCCTTTCAACGAATTTGGGAATCTTCGATCATTGAGCATCGTAATGGTTTGTTGTATCCAAAAAAGCAACTCCGAACACAGCGCTTCGTAATCTTCTTGAAGTTGATCAGAAGACATCAGGTTACCGACAATCTACAAGCAATGAAAAAGAATTTCTGTTACAGTGCGACGAACACGTCCACTATTTTCCAGGTAAAATACGATAAGGTACGGTGTTAAGCTTCGTCCCACCGTGCACATTCTACGGTAGTGATTTTTTTCTTTCTTGAAACTATACTTTTGATGAATACTCCATAGAGAAACCACAACAATAATTTCAGAATGCATAGTCGATTAAAGCAGTAAAAATAATCTAGGATAGTTTGAATTGAATTGAAACTCGTGGTTAACTTAAAAATACCTGAATGATGTTGAAAATGAAAAAACGCTGGGTTAAATATTACTAAAGTTCAAACGATATAACCAAATGGTTAGTACTACACACCTTAGCAACCCTTCTTGCACCAGTCATTTCTGTTTTCTGCTTTGCAAAATGGTGATAGTAGAGTGAAACGTAAGTAATGATAGACTTCTCATCCGGATGGGCAACATTAACATCTTCAGCATCCAACAAACGTGCAATATCTAGTTTTTTTCAGCTACATCGAAAGCATTATTCAAATTTCCAATTGCATCTTGTGGCGACAAATTCTCGTAATTGATTAGATCTGGCCTTAAATTATTACCATCAACTGAACGGTTTTAAATGAGATATGATAATAATATTGTAATGTTGCAATTATTCGAACTAATGTAAAAGATGAATACAGCAGAAAACATCGAGGCATAATTAGCGCGATTGGCAAGAAACTGGAAATGTCATCAATCTCAGCAGTACTTTATCTTAATTTTTCTGATGAATATCTATGAGATCTATGCTAACCTGTGGGCATGAATCAGTGCATTGAAAGCTAGACCATTACGCCATGAAGTGGTGAAATTCTCAACTTTGGAATTCGCATAACCAGCTGTTTTTCTTTGGCACCATAACAGAAGTGCATCCTTCGCATGCTTCCTTTCACCAGATTCTTCGTCCATCTGAAATTTAACACTTTCGTAAACCAAAACAAATCAATCCAGAATTAATCTTACATCTTATTAATTACAAGTTTTCGCTAAAAATTAACATAATTCATCATCCGTAAGTCTCAAGTATCATGCACAACATTTAGCAGATATTTATCAATTCACCGGGATGGAAATCGTGTCAATCTGGAAACGAAGAATGATAGTCCAAATGAGACCGAGAATAAGCCGTTCATTTCTATCCAGAATATCTTCTGCACCAATATTTTCAAGCTGCAAATAATTAATTTTAAAAACATTATGTAATAACAAATGGTTTAATTACATCGAACCTAGGCAATGATTCTAACAAATCGCATATTTTTAATAATTAAACACTCTTTGAATCGTAAATTTTAATTGACTTTAATAATGGTGATTATACATTAGAACAATATAACTGCCCAAATTCATACAATTGTTCTTTTGCTCTATCAAAAAGAAAAACATATTAATCTGCTACTTCATTATACAAAGTGATTCACATAAAAACAAAAAACAAAGACGAAATAAAAATATGAATGAAGATGTCCCCTATTCCAGATTGAGACTATTCATTCAATAAATAATATCAGTGCTACTTCTTACGTATATGCGAATGGAATGCATTTATAAACCGAAATGATATATATGGTACGAACAATGAACGAAACATATAAGAACAACCAGATGAGCTGGGACATTTTATCACGAAAAACAGATGGTTAGCAGAGATCTAAATTTCCGCATACACAATGAAGGAGTGCTGGATCCTGAAGGATAAATAAGCACCAACTCTCGTTGCAATAATAAGTAGCATAACTCTACTAACCTGTGGTTCCGTGTCACTGAATAAAGATGATACCATATGGCAGTCATACAGCAAGTCATTTTCGATTTCGAGAGTGAGGAAAGATTAAAATTATCATACAGGGATAAACATCCTCATCTTCATAATTAGAATCACATAATAAATCATGTTCGATCAGGATCGGTAGAAAATTCTTGATGACAATGTCTCAAAACTCTACCTGAATTCGTTTTTCTTTAGGAAATCGAGTGTTTTATTGAGATTTTCAATTTTTTGCACTCGCATTCGACCACGATTTGGTTTGCCAAGCTTTTCACTCGAAATAATTTCCAGTAATTTCATTAATAATACTCCATCTCCAAGATCCACGAATAAATCGACAATTTCGAGTCGTGCCTGGAAACAGCGTCATCAACACCAGCATCATTATCATTACCAGTACTACTGTTATGGCTAAAACCATCATGTAATATTACTACTAGTAGTCTTACTATTACTACTTTTTTATTATTATATAATTTCAAACATAGAGATCTTCGTAAACGGGAATACTCGTACGGTGCGAGATTTTCGAGCTAGCCATTTTTAATCCTTATTTTCGGTTTTGGACAAAGTATTACGTAATATATGTGAACAAAATATTATATAATAAAGTTGGTAGCAAATGATTGCATTTCTCATCGACTTATGTAGAGCAGGCTGGATTGATGCAGTTAAAACAATTATGCAAAACAGTAAAGCTGATGTTATCTTGAGGCAACTTTTCAAAATCGTGCAGTTTTGAAGGGTAGGGAATGATGCAGGGAACAGTCAATTTATAAGTGAAAATATAAAAAAATTAAAAGTAATTTATTAATTCAACTTATTTTATTTAAAGGCACTGCAACTCAAATGAAAAATGCGTTTACGAAGGAAATGACTTTAATAAAATTAAAAAATCAATGCTGGTAATTGTGGTGATAAAGATAGTGGTTTGAATATTTGATAACTCACTTTTAATTTTGGAATAATAATAAACAAAATGTGATGTCAACCTATTTATGTAATTTTATCTAAACATAGTCAGTCGCCAGATTTACTTATCTTTGTGAGGAAGAGAAATTAGTTACTGTAAAAAACAGATTCAAAACAATGCAGAAAAATTTATTGTAAATGTATTTTCACCTTGGAATATGGAAAAATCCTTTTTTGTTACAATAGAACAGTTAATTTTACCAACATTGTTATAGGATAACTTTAGTTATCTGTCTACGAAATCGTTGAATCAAACAGAAATTTCATGAGACTAATAAACAAAAAACATGATAAAGCTATCTGAACAGCTCAAATTATGTTAAGAATGGGTTGACTCATTATATTTCGATATTATATATATATATATATATATATATATATATATAAATATATGCGTATGCAAC